CTGGAGCAGAGTAGCTGTGCACTTGCTTGTTTTCAGTTAGCACAGAAGTTCTGAGAAGCATTAGGACAGTTGCATGTGATTCCTCCTTTGTTTTAGCAAAGTTGAGACGGAATTCACTCGAATGAACTGCGCAAGACTCCGAGAGACCTTGCTGAACACTTCGGAGTTTGGCTCGTGGAGTGAAAAGAGTTGCTTCGTGTTTTCACACGACACAGTCAAGAAAACCAAAAAAACCAATACAACCACAACACTGGAAAACCGCTCTCAATGATCAGATCAAGCAAGTCAGTTGCCAAGATATCCGACTTACGTCAACATGAATCGCTGCGTCTGCGTGCTTGCAGTCTGTGGAACCGGATTTCTGGTGTGAGATGGAGCAGGCATGTTGTTAGTGTCTTTACCCATTGAGACTGGGTTTCTGGCGTGGGGTTGGGACAAGCGGACACTGGACACCTATTGGAAAAAGATTCGCAATAGAACCGTGGATCCTAACGCTACACTACCTTGAAAGTGAGAAACCTTGTACTATGGTTGAACATTTAAAACCTTTTGGTTGTGTGGTGCAAAGAAATGATTTAGTTGGCAATCCTGAAAATGGTTCATCAGGCTATTTCCTGAGCAGCTCGGTAAGTTTTGAACTGTTTAGGTTTTGGGCTTTTTCACGAGCTTCTGCACAGGTACTCCTTGAACTATGAGACTATGAACACAACACAGCACGAGGACACCTATAGGAAAAGACTCGCAGCAAATCCGCGTATCCTCACGCTGCACTGCTTGGGCATTGAAAAAGCTTTCTACGATGGTTTAATTTGTTTAACCTTTAAAACCTTTGGGTTGTGTAGTGTAAGGAAATGATTTAGTTGGCAATCGTGAAATTGGTTCATCAGACTGTTTCCTTAGCAGCAGCTCGGTAGGTCTTGAACTTTTTAGGTTTTTAAGTTTTTCACAGGCTTCTGCACAGGTGTTTTCTCAACTATGAACCAAAAGGCACAAACAATGATTGTGCGTGTCCCTATCGGTCTTTTTCTTCGATGCACGTACCAAATCATTCAGCCAGGCGGTGTCGGGGGGTGCAAGCTAGAATGGCAGAAAGAATCACGAGGCCGTGGAAGCAGAGCAAGCAGTGCCTCCGGAATTTCCCCATCACGACCTTCCTTGTTCAGATTCTCGGTCTGTCGCGGGCTCGAAGCAAGTGCAGTGCTTCAGACATGGCGCACTCAATCATGCTGACCAGCCCCTGTTGCACCTCGCTGTTCCTGTTGTGTGCGTGCAGTAGCATCGTGAAAGCGCCCATGGAGCGAATGCTCAAGATGTTCTTAGCGATGTTGACTTATGACTTTACATGTGCATGCACAGGCTCATTCCGGTCGGCATCTTTGTGATTGCATGTGAGGCACCCGCACCAGCCTTCTGTTTTTTTCTGCTCGTTTCCTAGTTCTGAGAGATCTTGTCACACATGTGGAGTTGCGACCTGGGAGAACCTGGGAGCCTAATGTGCGCATCTGACTTTGAGACCCAGGCTCACCAAAGCAAACAAAGGGCATGTCCTGCAGCGATTCTGGCTCTCACAAGTGGTTCCTGGAAGGGTCAGCAAGACAACACCTGATCGGCATGGCCTGGGACGAAGCACAGCTCGGCAAGATTTTTGGCCCCAGCGGGAAGCTGCACAAGCAGGCTCAAGTGTTGGAGCTCGCGAAGGAGTGTGGCCACGAGCCCGCCCAGATCGTGGAGCAGGTTGCGCTTTTGAATCGGAACGGATGCATCTGATGTGTACTGGTTTTGACAGGGAGGGCCATGCAGCTGAGGTTTTTGGCATCTACCAGCACCTGGCAGTCTCCGATGGCAGCTCTGCGGAACTCATGAAGGCGTTCCAACAGGTTTTGGATCATCTGGGTGCCTTGGAACCAACAAGTTCAGGTCGGGGCCCGTCATGCCTGTCTTTGTCGTCCACCCGAAATCTGAGGTGACCTCGCGGAAGTTTTGGAGGACAGCACGGGGCCCGAGAGCGACCAGCTGCTCCGGGACATTTGCAGCCTCTTGCGCTGGGATTTCTCGAAGAAGGTGCTGCGCCTGAAGCTCAAGGTGCTGGGTTGCCGCATGTTCATTGCATCCTATGCCGAATCTCCTACCTGTGTTGCCATCTTAGTCTCATCTGCGTCAGGTGGATGCAAGTCAGGCGAAGGCCCGGCTGAGAGGATTCTGGGAGGACTCCGCCTTCGTCTGAAGCTCTGAAGAAAAACCGCCCAACACAGAGAGCCGTGTCAGGACCAATGCCGCTTGGCCGAGGATGCAGACTGGCAGCCGGACTCCGAGGCGTCCTGCCGGGGAGCGTTGTAGGTCGAGGCACATTGAGACGCAGGGCTGTACAAAGGACCCCAGATCTCTTGATGACAGGTCTGCGCTCGCTGGGAGTTGCGCATGACTAGGCGGTTACAGTCTGTCATCCGAGGTGCGCTTGGAAGAACGGCTCGCTGGCTTCGTGGCTGGCCCCGAGCCGCAGGACGATCTGGACAAGGTGATGCAGCTGGTCTGCAGCTTCGAAAACGCTTCGGATGATGAGAAGGTGGCCTTCTTCCTGCTCCACTTCAAACAGGAGCTCTTCGCGCTTGTTCAGCAGAAGGCCAACCACTTCATCGAAGAGGAGATGGAGAACATGAAGGAGCTGGACGGCATCTTCGAGGTGCAGGAGCAGTACTACAAAGTGCTGCTCTGCACTGCCTCCCTGGTGGCGCAGTGTTACCAGAAGTCCCGTCCCGAAGCCCGAGCCTTCCTCTTCGGCCACGATTGGGATGAGATGCCCATCGAGAAACTCAGGGCAAAGAAGAGCCAGCTGCTAAAGTCCTTCCACACCGACAAGACCAAGACCTTAGCTTGGCGAGTCCACAGCATCAAGGATGCTGAGGGAGACGTGGCCGTGGAGGAGCAGGTGCAAGCAGACCTGGTGAAGTTCACCGCCGCGACAGCCCTTGTGAGTCAGGTGGGCAAGGACATTGAGCAGGAAAGGGAAAAGTTGATGGACCTTCGCAAGCGAATGCGGAAATTGGAGGGGGAGGCTAAAGGGTGGATGCGCCGTGCTGAGGACAATGCCGAGCTGGCCAAGAAGGATGCTTCCAGCCTGCACCAGGACAAGCAGCAAGATGCCGCCAAGCGTGCCCGTGAACTCTGGGACGACTTGATGCGCCTTTTGGATCGCGTGGATGAGCCCGACGAGCCAAGACGAATCCGAGTGCGTCTCTCCATCGCCGAGGCGTGTGTTCTGGAGGGCTTGCCAGCGAACATTGCGCAGCTTTATGTGATCGGAGCGAAGCACTTGTGGCATCGAACGTGGCCCCTAGATCAAAAGAAACAGCAGGAGCACAATGTGCTGTTGAAGGCCATTCTGGAGGTCGAGCAGAAAGTGCACGCACCCTGTGCTGCACTGCAGTCGGGCAAGGCTGAAGCTGGCAATGCGGCCCCTACAGACGTACTGGCTTTGCTTCCAACTGCATGCAGAGGTCAGCGTCTTCGGAGTGACCTCCAAGTTGCGACAAGAGCTGATTTAGACAAAGTGTTCCAGTCGACAAGGCAGTTTGACATGGACGCGTACCAGCTGATGGTGCCTACCCTGGAAGTCGCCCGTTGTGACGTCAGCTCGCCAATGTGCCGCACGTTGAAATTGTCCCAGACAGCTTGTAACCTGCTTGGAGGGGTTGGATTGGTATCAGGCGGCGCAGGATTCCTCGCTGTGGGATTGTCGATGGGTTGTGCAGTCACAGGAGGTGCCGGAATCGCGCTTCTGGCAATAGGTGGTGTGGCAGGGGTGATTGCCAGTTGGCAGGCATCTGCTCGTGGGAGCTTCCTGAAGCATTTGCACCACATGGTCCGGTAAAGCCACAAAGCACTGCAAAACAAGGGTGCGGAAGCCTTCCTGGAGACGCTCTGCATGCCGCTGCCCAACTCGCGCGAGCTGGGAGCGGCTGCTGGAAAGCAAGTCTTGAACTACCCTCACACCCTGGAAGAGCCTCTGAAGACCTGGAGGGCAGCGTCAAGTTCCTTCTAGACTGGTCTGTCTGCCCGGTGTTCATTGGACAGCTGCTGTTGCAGGTTGCAGAGATCTTCGCCTCCAGACGCATCAAGCAGATGAAGGTCGCCAATGGTGAGGCCCAGGTCCCCATGTACAACCGGCTCAAGATTCAGGCAGAGAATATCCTGAACTACTTGGAGAAAAGCGTGTCTGAGGGGGACCTGTACAAGGCGGCACTTGACCTGGATGCGCAGAAAAAAACTGAAGATACCCTCACCCCAAAGAAGGCGCGTTTTGAGAAGAACGATGGCAGCCTTCTTGAGGAATGCTTTGAATGGTCCACAACCAGCCGGGCATGGTACTTGAAGAAGCAGCTGCCTGAACGAATCTGCTCCACCGCATCGCACATCGGCATGACTGTGCAGAAGGCCACGCTCTACAAGAAGGCCGGCAGCGGACTCGAATGTAGCAGGGAGTTGAAAGACTTGCGATGCCTGACCAAGCTTTTTGTGGACGAGGCGGACGTGTGCACCATTGAACTTGAGCTGTCCTCGTCCAAGTGGGCATACTTCAACGACCTTGCATCTTTCTTCGTGAAAGATCAGCCTGCCAACGATGGACACCGGGCTCAGTTGTTCCAGCTGCTGCAGATTACTCGAATCAACATGGCAATGCTGTTGCTACTGAACCAGGAGGCAACGCAAGAAGAGGATGGAAACATCAAGAAGGCAGAATTGATTCTGCAGAAGGTTCTCAAATCTGTGCAAGCCTCTACCTCCTCCTACGATCTGGAGATTCGCGTGAAGGCTGTGCAAGACTTCTTCCAGGTCTTCGCCGGCCGTGAACTGAAGATGCTTGACGACGGTGAGGTGTGCCCAGCGGAGATCGTCAGGTATGAGCAATGGAGCCAACGGCTGGCTTGCATCGTCGAGTTCCCTTCGTTTTCAGCTGAGCCGACAGCACTGCCCGACAAGTTCAAGAGCCTGACATCAGCGTTTCTAGCCTCCCTTGCGCGCCAGAGGTGCAAGACCAGTCCTGCGACGAAGGAGGTCCAGGAGGAGGCTCAGGAGATTCTGGCTCGCATGAAGTCCCTCGGCAGCACCGACTGCGACGAAGCTTTGCAGTGGCTGGCCAAAGAGTGTGGCGGCGTCAAGCAGGTGTTTGTGTGCAAGCCGCCTGGCGTCATTGCGAGTTGCTGCGGTGGCGTCGGTGGTGATCGATTTGGGCAGCCTGCAGAGAAACGTGCAGTTCTTCCCCAGCCTTCAGAGGACGGCTTCGACGTCTTCCTCACGGAGGAGAACGACAAGTGGTGCAGCCTACAGCTTTTCGAACCTGGAGATTTCCATTTAGCTGCCAGAGAGTTGGCCTGTGACCTCCGGATTCGTCCGAGCACGATTGCTTGGGATGGCAAAGGCGGTAAGGTCCTGAAGGAGCTTGCAACAGCTTTCGAGCAGGAGCCCACGGAGGGAGGTGATCGCAAGGTGAGCTTTGCCACAGAGCTACTACGGATCCACACCTCTGCCAGCTTGCCTGGGGATTATCGCCAAGCCAAGATTCTCATGACTTGCCTTCGCCTGCTGTCAAACGAAAGTCTGCATGCCACCATTACAGACGACATCCTCAACGAGACGCAGCGCTTCCTTTGGTTTCCTTCTGTCTTCTCCAAGATCTATTTGACCAAGGCACATTCGCTGTTGAGTCAAGGAAAGGTTCACCGGTCAAAGAAGTGTGCCGACGAGGTGGGGAACACGCCCGAGTTTGTGGAGAGTTGCGGTGAGGAGAAGAAGTGGTTGCAGCGCTTGCAAGAGGCTCAGCGCGTTGCGATGCAGCATTGCGAGACTCCGGCTAGCTATAAGGCGGAGCAGCCGAAATGGGGACAGCAAAGCAGCATGGGCTTGCGCTGCAAGAAGGGGAAGGCGTTGTACAATTTCACGCCGCAGGAAGTCGGCAAGGCTTCGAGATCTACGGATCCCTACAACATCTTGAGCGTGGATGGGGGAGGCATCCAGGACGTCATGCCGGCTGTCCTTCTCAGTGAGCTGGAGCTTCGCTTGCACAAGCCCCTACACCAGGTCTTCCAACTCATGGCAGGGACTTCCACGGGATCGCTGATAATCGGTGGCCTGGCTACACCCACCGTGGAAGGCAAGCGCCGCTACAGAGCATGTGACATCGTCGAGCTGTACGTGTTTCGCCGCAAGCAAGTAGTACCCCAGGTTGCACAAGAGCTCCTTAAGGACATGACTAGTTGGGCGGAAGAGGATGCCATCCCCTTCAAGGACACCTTGGGCAACATCATGGTCCAGGCTCGCACGGCTGATGGACTGCAACAGCGGGTCGCAGATGAAGCTCGTCGCAGCTGCCCGGGTTACAAGGTCAATCTCAAGCTGTTCGATGTTCTCAGGCCGGCCCCGGGGGGAAAGGCGGGAGGTCACCAGCACGTAGGCAAGGGCCGAATCACGTTTGTGACAGTTTGCCAGGAGCTCTGCTGCCGATCAGAACCCTCCCTATGACTTCGATTTGCAACGGAACGAAAAGAAGTGTCCGGCTGACGGGCTTGCGACGAGGGCCCTGCTCTGGGCAGCAGAGTAGGCAAGATCCACACCAAAACCAAGCGTGCTGCTCTCCTTGGGTTCCGACATTGATGTCAGCTTCGAGAATCCTGCTCGCTTCGAGCAGCTCAGCTACCACCGCCCAAGGCTGCAGACCGATATCTCCTGGTCAGACACCTCGGCTGAAAGCATCGCAAAGTTGTTGGATCGGGCGGAGTCCTACCTGCAGGAGGCTTACTGTGCAGAGTCCAACTGGTTCAACAAGATGATTGAGAAGCTTTCCGGCTGACCGTGGGGATATGTCGTGTCGTAGGCCCGCTGAGCCAAGTAGACTTGGCAGGCAGCGAAATCCGCAGCTCATTGTGCGGTACCCCGAATTCAGTATCCGTTCCCGACCTTTGCAGGGCCTATCAACTGCACGAAGTTGCACGAGTCTCTCACTTAGATTCAGATTTTGATGTTGACAGCTGGGGCATGATGCTCGCCTCGTTGCTGTACCCCTGCAAGACAGACCCGACCGGGTCCTTCAGCTGTCATGATGTCATCCTCCGCCTGTGCAGACCTGCTTCGCAGGCTAGCTCGAGAGGAGTAGTAGTTAGTAGTTCTGATTGCAGAGAGCGAGCTTGCTTCCGAGACCGCTCTGCGGTTGCATGACCCGCACGTTCCTGTGCATGAGTGTAGACTCAAAGGTCCTGTGTGCCATCACATCAAGCAGTGTCATGCAGTCCGGGAAAAGCAGGTCACCCTCCAAGAATGTCGCTGGTGCCGTCCCAAGATGACCTCGACACCTGAAGCGCAAATGTCTTTCTTGGTGCACATATGTATATCAATCCATTATCCATCCATGCAGCCTTCCATGAATAGATCCATCCACATCCATCCATATCCATCCAAGTCCACCCACATCCATCCATCCATCCATCCATTTTGCTTCACTTCTTATGTGCGGAATTCCCTGCTTCCATGCATGCATTCCTATATGTACCTACATGAGTTCTGCGCACTCGACGCATGCATACATACATGGTCGTATGCAGGTACGAGGCCGAGTGTGTATGTACGTATGCAAGTAAGTATGTAGGCGTGTAGGCAGGCGCCACACATCCCAGAGCAGCGCAAGCGACTTCTTTCGCTGAGTTATAGTTGCACCATTCGCACTGTCAAGCTCTGGATTGGAAATCCTTCAGGTCGTGGCGATCTCGTTCTCCATGGCAGCAGGTGCCTTGGCTTTCGAGCATGTCGCGCGGCTGCACTTGTTCGCCGATCGACACGTTGTTTTCGTTTCATGTGCACGTATTTTGCTATTTCCTTTAAGGCTTTGCGGTCGTGGGCATGTCCCCTTACTCCGTCGATCCCAATGAAGCATCGTCGAATCGAAAGGGCGTGGTATTCAAGTTTGCCACATTTGCACGCCCTAGTCCGGAGTCTCACTGACTGTTGGGCCGGTCCTTGGGTTCTTTGAGGCTAGATGATGCTTGGTGTTCAAAGCTGTCGGGTACAACAAGAGACAGGTCGTCACTAGACACTAGACAGGCGCAGCCTTTCTTGGCAGCCGATCTGGACCTGAATCGCAGAGCTCAAAAGATGGACCAGCCCGTGCAATGCCGGAAGCGGCGCGCACATGCCGGCGCTCCACGACACCCCTGCTTGGATACCTGCCTTCCGTCCCTGGTTGGCCAGAACTGGCCCCGAATCTTTGACACCATGAAGCGCTGCCAGGTGACAATCCTGGTCGCCCCCACTGGCTCGGGGAAGTCAACAGATCTTCCACAGCTCCTGCTAGCGGAATCCCAGAAGTCCAGTCCGGCAACCAAGATTCTGTGCGCTCAGCCTCGCCGCATCGCAGCCACGACCCTGGCCGCCTATGTGGCGCAGCGAACAAAGACGAACCTTGGGGATCTTGTTGGCTACGAGATTGGTGGCTGCAAAGTCCGCTCACAAAACACTCGACTGACTTATGTTGTTGCTGGGATAGCTCTACTGAACTGTTTGGATTCGTGCCCTGACTTTGACGTCATCATCGTGGACGAGGCGCCCATAAAATCCTAAATGTGAAGGCTGAAGTGACAAAGCCGAGCAGAGCAAACGGGGCACGCCCCAATGACAGGTGACATCTGCCGAATCAAGGTGCTGTCTGCTGGGCCAGTGAACAGTGAACGCAGCTGTGACAGTGTGACAAGCCTTTTTCCGAAGGCATCTACTCTGTCGCCCTGTGACTCCTGTCTGAGATGGCACCACTTGCTTTGCTTGCGCCTGGGAGGCTCCAAGCTGGGGTAGTCCGGTGGGTGCCTGCCCCCTATCACATGGAGGGACTTGGAAGGCTACCAATGTGCCCGTGTGCTTTCCTGTTACTCGGGATTTTTTTTGAACTTGATGCTGGATGTATCAACAGCAACGCGATTATTCCAAGCGTTTTGAAGCATAACGCTTGCTCGTTTGTCCACAGATGACAGAGCATCAGACATGCTGCAGGTAATGATGCACGATGACTTTCTATTCCCCGAATGTATAGGTGTGCAGCAGCGAAAGTTGCATAATCGGCCACCTCACAGGAACATCAACCATTTCCGGGCAGTTCTCCGTAAAGTTTCCCGTGCTTTGCCGGTATCATGATGCTTGTTTGACACCTGCCTCAGGTAGATGTGTGGTGTGCATGTGTATGAGCCACCAGCATCGTTCTTTGAAGCGAAGCATTAGACAGAAACGGCAGTCAACAGAAGATCATCTAACAAACCGGCAGTTTGTACAATGAGCTAGCAGTCACTGGCAATGTAAAATCTGCCCAGAAGGAAGCGCCGCAGTATGATGTCTTGTTGTTCGGCTGCAGCAACGAGTCTGCCCAGAGGTGCACACGCGGGACACGCTCATCGACTTGCTGTTGGCAGTGGTGTGCGACAACGTATTGAAGAAATCGCCTGATTTGCGGCTGGTGCTGATGTCTGCAGCCATGGACAAGAACCACATGAAGATCTACTTTGAGAAGCACACATGTTCTGGAGCGACCGTGGAACTTGTAGAACTTGAAGATGCGAGATCATTCACCATAAATCGGATTTTCCTCGACGACGAGATGCAACTGCCCAAGGTTCCTGCTCAAATTTCGCGCTCGTGGGCACAGATCCTGGCTGATGCCTCCGGCAGGACCCGATGGGATTTGTTGGCAACTTTCATCATTGAGCTCCATCGTGATTGTGATCCCCACTCATCGTTTTTGGTCTTCCTTGCAGGAAGAAATGAGCTGTACCAGCTACGGACTTGTCTGCAGAAAGAGCCGCAGTTGAAGATAAGCATCCTGCACGCGACGATATCGATGGAAGTGCAGAAATCTATTCTAAAGGCTCCCGCAGTTGACCGACTGCAGCGTTCCCGTCGCGTCATCTTGACGACGGATGTAGCGGAGTCGTCCGTGACAATCCGAGATGTGGACGTCGTCATTGACCTCTGTGAGCACAAGCGTCCGCGGTGGAATGCTCTTTCGAAGCAGTCTTTCTTGACAACCTCAAACATCAGCAAGGACGAGGCAACACAGCGAGCAGGCCGCACAGGCCGCTTGCGTGAGGGAACCGTCATACGAGTGTTGACGAAGTCAGTGTATGAAGGCCTCAAGCAGCATGTGGATCCTGGCATCAAGCATGCTCGCTTGGAAGACGTAATCCTAACCATCTTCGAGCACTGGAAGGTTCTTGGCACGCCGGAGCAGTTTTTGAACAAGCTCCCTGACCCGCCGGAAACGGAGCAGGCCACGGGGCAGCAGCTTGCGGTGCCCAGCACTCCCCAACCTCGCATTAGGTCAGGCATGGCCAGGCCCATGAAGACTCAAGATTCATGACCCCAGGTGCGAGCGGCGACGCGAAGGCTACTGGAGCTGCGTGGCATCGAGAAAGACCGAAGCGGAATGCCCAAGCTCACCGAGTTCGGCCGCCTCCTACAAAGGCGGGGCTTTGGGATTCTCCGCTTGGGGCTTTTGGATAATATTTTGCTTGCAAAGCTGGAGTCTGCTCCGGGTGTGAGGGGCCTCTGGTTTTACCTCGGGTTTAGGGCTAAGGGATTGTTTTCGGATCGCCGTGTAGTTGGGCTTTCCGAGTGCTTGCCTGGTTGTAGGGCTCCTGAATTCTGAAGCCCATGACAAGGATGCCAGTGGATCCAGAGGTGGGCATCCTGGTCATGAGCGGAGCTTCTCAGGCAGCAACTCTAAGTTTCAGAGCCGTTGCGGTAGATCTCTGTGTAGATCTCTCTGCCTTTTGTTGTTCTGGCTTAGGTTCACTTTGGCGTGGTACATGAGTGCTGCGTGATGGCCAGCATCATCCAGCGGGGTCTGCCTTTCCTGGAGAACCCCAACTGGACCCTAAAGGCAGGCCTTGAAAACACATTGTGAAAGATGCCGTTGGCGTCGCGTAATACATAGCCGCGTTTTCCAGATGTCGGTTCAGGAGAGCCAGAGGTTTGTGGCGGTCCGGGATGCCTGTTTGCAGGATCTTCCAGCTGATGCAGGGCAGGCTTGCAACATGTATCCAAGCGACCTTATCGCCGGACTGCAAGCATATCGAGCCTGGCAGCAACAGCAACTGCAGCATCCCGACTGGAGCTTGCATGGAGAGTGGTCGTGGTGCCTGGGACACTTCTTTAGCCTTCAACGCTTGCACGAGATTGAGGAGACAGTCATCCAGTTGAGGTCCGTGCTCCAGCAGCTAAAGCTCGCTCGAGAAGTGCCCGCTGAAATCGTCGGCCGTGTGCGGGAAAGATGCAAACAAATGCTGACACCGGACTTGGAGCCACCAGAGCCATGCTGGGCAGAAGCCCCCGATTGTGATGTCAAGGCCCTGCTCGGAGTCTGCACACCGGACCCGAAGAAGCAGTGGCTGCTCCGATGGTGCATTGCGTCCGCTTTCACTTCAGGAGCTCTTGAGGTGACCGGAGGCGGTTGCTCTGAAGCAATGCAGGTGCGGTTTGTTCCAGGATCGAGTCAGGTGACACCTGCGTCTTTACTCAGATACCTGCAAGAACACTCTGACCTCGTCACGAGCGTGACGAGCGGTAAGAAAGGAGAGTGCTACGCTCAATTTCGTCATGGTGCCCCGGCACGCCAACTTGTACAAGCACTCGACTTTGCGAACGAAGTGCCCTGGAAGCATGCCATGCTCTGGCAGAGGGGTAAGTTCAGCCACCCTACATGGCAAGCTCGACAGTGCTATATGAAGCACAGCAAGGAGTTCAAGATCATTCCCACATCTGCTGCGAGCCCACTGCTTCTCAACAGGTGCACAGTGGTCTCAGCGCAGATCTTGCCGGTAGCCAGTCCAGATGGGAAGGTTCTTTGCTCTTGCAGCTTCTGTTCGGTCATGCCACCCGGTGTAGTGCCGGCAGTCCTGGAGGCTGTGTACCCGGCTGTGCGCAAGTTCTCCGATGGCGACCAGCTCGAGCTCCTCTGCGCCGGGCATCGTGAGATGCTGCCAACCCTGGCGGCCGCATTGAGAGGCTTGGATGCCGATCCAGCCATAGTGCCAGACTTGACCACAAAGCTTAGATCGATCCGTGCCAGCATCGGCAAAGAGATGGGGGAAGACGACAGAAACGTCCAGCGCATTGTGAAGAAGCGAGCAGACGAGGCGATCAGCATCATGGAGAGCCTGGCAGCCTTGGAACCTTCCAATTCGGTAGGTCTCAGGGAGATGCTGCCCAGCCTGGAGACGTGCAATTTGGCCGCCTTCTCTTTAGTTCCTTTTTGAGCTAATTTGCACCTGCTGCACGTGCCGCAGTTGCGACTTCAACGAAGCAGGCAGAGTCTCGTCAGAGTCTCGTCTGTAGCGAGTAGGTTGCTGCGCACTGCGCAGAACCCTCCCTGGAGGATACTGTGTTGTGAGTGTGGACTGTCTCGGCATGAGCGCCCTTGAACCTTTCTTCAAGATCCAAGACGTGAGTTTGTCACTCGTCACAGGAACTTGAGCTGCTAACTGCCGTGTATCCGGGGCCCATGGACAGCACTTTTCACACGGATAACTTGCAGCGGCCATTCTGCGGACATCTTCAAGTCGAAAGTGGGTTTGCAAGATGCCGGGTGCATAAACCCAAGTGCAGTAGCTGACTCCGCGAAGATTGATTGGATTTGATCAAAAATCAGAGTCCAACCTGTCTCTGGGGTACAGGGTTGACCCGTCAAGATCCGGATTGAGAAGTGCACGGGACGCTAGACATAAGGAGTGTGGCGCTCAGCTGTCTACTCTCTCCTTGTTCTTGAAGATGATGGCTTTTGGCTTTGGGCTTAGGCGGTCGACCTCCGTGAAAAGCTCACCACCTCACGTCATCTCACGTCAACATCGTGTTGATCTGTTGAAACGAATCGTAGATCGAGCTCGAAGGAATTGTTGACCGTCCCCTACTCTAGCCCCTGAACATGCTGCATCCGTCAGGCGGCCTCTTAAATCTGAGAAGCAGCTGGCGCGTCACGTCACGAGTCACGTCCTCGGTGCGAGCGAGGCGCAGTCTGTGTTACGGAGAGCCCAGTGGACACTAGACCCCCACAGCGCTTGCGGCGAGAAGCTTTCGAGAAGCGAGTGACAAGGAGTGCTCGCTCAGTCTCCGTGTCGCTCCAAAGCCGCTTTCAGCTCAACTCGTCGTGTACTCCGGACCCGCACCCGTCGGGAAGGTGGGACGTTTGCGATTTGCTCTGGACTGGGGAACACTTGTCCCCCTGAATGAAACATCCAGTCATTTCCCTCTCGCTGGTGCAGGCTTTGGACCTTTAGTTGAGGCGATGAAGCTGGAGCACATGCTAGCGTGGGCCGCAGCCGTCCTTGTGCCAATGTGGCCAAAGAGGTCAGAGCTCTGTGGGTTGCACGGGGCCACATCAGGAGCCCGGACAGTTTATCGTGTTAACTTGTCAACGAAGTTTTGAGAAATTCAACTCCACCGAGTTGCAGCCAAAACGGTCCAAATTGTTGAGAAGCTTCTTTCTACTATATGACCCTAAACCCTAAACCGTGACCATATCCCAAAGTCGAAGAGTCCAAGGTCTTTTCTCTCTTCGTGGGCGCCTTGGGCCATGGCGCCCTGACCAAGCCTTTGCCCCGCCTGGTGTCAGGTAGGGCCCACGGAGGGCCCAGTATGCACCACGGTTTAGAGTTCAGGGTTTAGGGTTTGGGGGTGAGGGTCTTCCTTTCATGACTTTCCGAGGTTTGTGTGTTGAAGCCTGCGGAGGGGCGCAGGGGCGGAGGGGCAACATAGGGATGCTTTTCGAAGTCCCTGTCCGAGATCGGCGGCAGCGAGGGCGTGTAGGTGATCTCGCGGACGTGTGTCATTCCAGACCGGTTACAAGATCTAAGGAAAGGATAGATGGATGGAGAGATAGATGGGTCGGTGTTTGGTTTGTTTTTGGATCCTTTCAGTGGTCTGGGAGGTCAGCAGTACTGTCCCTGGTGTGTGGGCGAGCACCAGCCGGCCAGGTTCCCAGAGAGCTCTGCCTTTTGTGGCTTATTGAATTGGGACTTTCAGAAAGAGCTGAAGAGCGTCTCGTCATGCTATCTATCCTAGGTGGTATTAGGGAGACCCCTTAAAGGGGTCCCCCTAATCCTAACTCCCAATCTAAAGCAAAAGATGTGCAAATCGGCGCAGGGTCCTGACCAGAGTGTTTCAAGCAAGGTCACGAATCCGTCCGGCGTGGTCAACAGAGATGCAGAGCCGTCCTCACCCTGCCTTGGCTCTCAAATAGGCCGAGCAAGCTCTGGGATGCCCGCTTCTTTCTTCACGAGCTTTCTGCAGGTGATGCGCCGTATCCTGGGAGCAACTATAACAGCCTCCCGACTGCATCTGGGATGGAGAGACCCTATAGGAGGTTTCGCCGGCGCCCCTCAGAAGCCAGAGCAATACCAGAAAGTGCAGTCGTCAGTGGCTCTCGACAAAACTAAGGCTATTCAGTAGCCACGGCTCCGGCTGAGCCTTCCTACACGGCCGGTGGCAAACTGGAAGCAAACATTGTGCCGGGAGCTTACTCTCGAACGTCGGTGCCTCTGAAAACGGTCATGCCATGGCCCAAAAAGTCGGTGCCAGGCTGGATGCTGATCACAATGGAGATG